ACCAGGTCACTGGCTGATCACCCTGGGGCCATATTGGGGACTCAGTGTTGGTTCCTCCTGCTGGCATATTGGGCATTCTGCAGTAGCTGTTGCCAGATCAGCCTTGGTGAGTAGGAGTCTGTTGCTGTGCCCATGCATACCCTCCATCCCTGCCACTATGACCATTCTGTTCATGAGCCCATTGGGTAATGACAGGGGTGGTTGATGAAAGAGGTTGACCACTATCCGCATAACGGGTCAGCTTATCCACTTGATTGTTAAAGTCCTCTTCTGCAGAGGTTATATGTGAAGAGTGTTTACATGGGACACAAATATTTTTATATCCCTTGCCCATATGGAAAGGTCTATCCACATTCCTCTTCCCCAGATATCTTTGTCACCAATTTTTCAGTTATATTCCTTCCAAGTTCCTATCCAGCCAGACCATTGGCTACAGCCCATGCATCAATATACAGGTGCACATCTGGCCTTTTCTCTTTTCAGGCAAAATGTACTACCAGGTGCACTGCCCAGAGTTTTGCCCACTGTGAAATTCCCCTTCACCATTGTCCTTCAGGGATATCCTGGAAAATAGCTGTAATGCTGAAGCTGTCCACTTGCAGGTGGTGCCTGCAAATTGTGTCAAATCATTCATAAACTAGGCCCTAGCCTTTTCTTCCTCTTATAGCTGATCATATCATACACCTCATGCTGGGAAGCAGAAGGTAATATAGCAAGAGGAGGAGCCAAGGGCATCTGGGGAACTTCATGTAATTTTCTGTACCTTCTGGACCTGCTCTGGCTCAGTCCTGTATATACCATTTCCACTTAATGACAGGCTGTTGCTGTGCACATCCAACTTTATGACTTGGTAGATCAGGTAATACCCAGTTCATGATAGGCAACTCAGGTCACAAGGTATCCTGGTGTCCCATGGACAGTTGTTCAGTTTCCGCTTAGGCCCAGTAGCAGGCCAGGAGCTGTTTTTCAAAGGGAGAATAGTTGTCTGCAGATGATGGCAGAGCCTTGCTCTAAAATCTTAAAGGCTTCTGCTGCATTCACCTATGGGGGCTTGCCAGAGACTCCAAACAGCCTCTCTACCTGCCACTGACACGTAGTCTGCCACTGACATGTCAAGTACCATTGGATCTGCTGGATCATGTGGCCCTAGTGGCAGAGCGGCCTGAACCTGTTGCAGAGCCTTTTCTTGTTCTGGGCCCCACTCAAAACTAACTTTCTGAGTCACTTGGTAAATGGGCTGGAGAAAGACACCTAAGTGAGCAAAGTGTTGACTCCAAAATCCAAATAGGCCCACTAGGCATTGTGGCTCTCTTTTGGTTGTAGCGGGAGCTGAATGCAACAACTTATCTTTTACCTTAGAAGGGATATCTCTACATGCCCCACACCACTAGACTCCTAGAAATTTTACTGTGGTAGAAGGACCTTGAATTTTACTTGGATTTATTTCCCATCCTTTGGCTCTCAAATGCTTTACTAACAAATCCAGAGTGGTTGCTGCTTCCTGCTTACTTGGCCCAATCAGCATAACATCATCAGTGTAATGGACAAGAAAGGTGATCAAGATCCCTTTGAACTAAGTTGTGACATAGGGCTGGAGAGTTAATATAACCCTGAGGTAGAACAGAGAATGTGTATTGCTGGCCTTGCCAAATGAACACAAATTGTTTTTGATGGTCTTTATGGATAGGTATAGAGAAGGCATTTGCCAAATCAATAGCTGCATACCAAGTACTGGGAGATATGTTAATCTGTTCAATCAAGGGAACTACATCTCATACAGCAGCTGCAATCGGAGTCACCACTTGATTCAGTTTACAGTAATCTACTATCATTCTCCAAGACCCATCTTGTTCTGCACAGGCCAAATGGGAGAATGAAATGGAGAGGGGTGGGAACCACCTTGCATCCTTCAAGTTCTTGATGGTGCCACTAATCTCTGCAATCCCTCCAGGAATGCAATGCTGTTTTGGGTTTACTATTTTACCAGGCAAAGACAACTCTAATGGCTTCCATTTGGTCTTTCCAATAATAGCCCTCACACTACAGGTTAGGGAGCCAATGTGAGGATTCTGGCAACTACTAAGTATATCCATTCCTAATTATGCATTCCAGAGCGGGGGAAATGACTACAGGATAGATTTGAGGACCCATTGGACCCACTATGAGTTGGACTTTTGCTAAAACTCCACTGATCACCTGACCTCCGTAGGTCCCTACTCTTACTGGAGGGCCACAAAGATGTTTTTCATTCCCTGGAATCAGTATTAGTTCAGAACCAGTGTCCAGTAATTCCTGAAATAGCTGATCCTTTCCCTTCCCCCAGTGTGTAGTCACTCAGGCAAAAGACCTTAAGTCTTTCTGGAGGATGGGAGAAAGATTGACTGTGTAAATATTTGGTGCATCAGGATCCTTCCTCAAGGGAACCCAGCCTCCCCTTCAATCAAGGTGTCCAGGGTCTATAAACTGGCTCAAATCTGGGAACTGGCTGAGGGGTAGTGATTCCGTTACCATGATTTGAACTAGGTTTCTCTTCATTTGCCCTTAAATTTTTTCAATTATGTAAATCTAGTAAAAATGCCTTGTAGGCTTCTTGTCTATCCCACTTTTGGGAACATGGCTCAGCAAAAGCCATAGGTCTGCATGTGTCAGACCATTCAGGTCACTGTTTTGCTGTCCATTATGGTAAGTATGTGCACCCCCCCTCTGGCAATTAAGTGCTGCCACTTGATCTCTGCCATGCCAAAATCCAGTCAAGCCCAGTGTCCTTCAATTTCCCATTTGAATAACTGTGGTCCCCACTGTAAGATCTGACATACAGAGAAGAGCAATGACAGGGCTCCACAGGGATGCTGGTGCTCCCCTCACAACTGTTTCTCAAGGTATTAGTCAAGGGAATTTTCTGGATCAGTCCAGTGTGGTTAGTTTTAACATGACAGACCCATACCAGCATTCCCTTTTTTCCCTTAGCTTCTAAATCCCTTCATCAGTATTCCATGGAATAGCAGGCATCTCTCACTCTGAATGGGCCACTTTTTGATCCACACTTCTGCCAACCAGCCAAATAAACTAGTAACACCTTTCATTGCTCCACGACCTGCAATATTAAGTTCAGAATCTCTGCTTAACAGGCCCTTATCAACAAATTCAGCCTGATCAAGGTGTGTATTTTTGTCATTAACCCACACCTGTAAAACCCATTCATTCCCACACTTGCTCATCTGGCTTCTGCTTGTAAGAGTTAGAAAACTCAAGTTCTTTGGTAGAATAGCAGGCTTCCTCAAGGGCCACACTATATACTTCATCCGTATGAGTCTTCTGCAGTTTGAGCCTGGTTATAGGCCTAGAGGTAAAAGCCGCTGGTGAGGGTGGTTCCTGAAGCAGGTCAACATTATCATGCTTGGTCAATGTGGGATTCATTTCCTCAAGTATACTAGGAAAGGCCAACACCACAGGGGTTGAGGGGTGGGGAAAATTTCTTCCTTTGGCAAAATAATCTCATTAGCATCTAGAAACTCAACGTTCTGTTTAGTCAGGATCCTCCCAAATGTGTCCCAGTTTACAGGATCTCGTTCTTTTCCAATCAGTGCCCTCACCTTTGCTTCAGATACCCTTCAAGGCTAAGCATTCCTTGTAGTCCAGCCCATCGAATTATGAGGGCCTGTGTCCCACTTTCTGCACTCTCAGGCCTGTGGCTGTGATTTTCTTTCAAGACACACTTAGAAACTTTTACGTCTCTTATGTGTGTATGGAGCCGGTAACTTCAATCTGAGCTCCTTTATTAATATGTCCTCACAGTCAGAAAACTTTAGATTTCCTATGGATGTGTTTTTTGTTTTTGTTTTGGTATCAGGGATTGAACTCAGGACCTTGCACTTGCAAGGCAGGTGGTGGCACCACTGAGCTACATACATCCCCGGCCCTCCTATGGAAGTTTTGAGCTCAGTTTTCTTCACTGGTTTGTCCAGAGATACCAAGACCAACCAGCAAGCAGCATCACATTCCCCACTCTGCCAACCATTTCCAGGTTTCAGGTATGGAGTCACTAAATTCCTTACATCTCACAACCGGTGAATTAGGATAATCAAATGGATCTACATTGCTTATTAAATAGTTCACACCAACGGCTACCAGTATTCCCCAAAGAATTAGGAGAGACCATGGCATCTTTGGGTCTCATCAAATTAGAGCGCCAACTCCAGGAACCGCCAAAGCCATTGAAGAATTCCATCTTTACAACTGTTTCTCTAGAGCCACTCCTGGTACCAAAATCTGTATGTCAGTGTGTACTACAGAAAGATATAATATAAGATATACAATGGTCACCCAGAGTTGGATGTGGAAGAGTGCAGAGGGTCTGGAGCTCACTACAGTGTCCTGTGCAAGTCTGTAGCAGGAGGCCAATGGACCTGTGATGCAAGACTGAAGGATCTTCACCAGAAGCTGTCATATGTACTGGAAGCCAGAAGATGTCCAAAGTGAACTCGAAGAATGGAGCTCCTCTGAAAAAAAAGGAGATCCTTCCTTCTTCATTTCCCCTTTATGCCACCCAGGTGACAAGCTGCCCTACAGTGTGTCTTCTACACCCTAGGGTGTGGAATTACTGAGCCAATTTACTTGAGCTTCTGTTACTCAAGTTGACATAATCAATCAACCATCACATGAGGCCAGAAAACAGTAGACCAGGCATAGGGAGGAACAGCCAAAATAGGCAGAACAGAAATAAATTAAGAAAGTTTGCTATTTTGTCCTAAGTGAGCATGGGTCAACAGTAAACACTAGACTTGACACAACCGTATTGCCAATAGCTATGAAAGTGTAGCTGTCATAATCCTGAATAGATATATTTAGACCCACTTGTAACAATTTGGAAAAGGTCTGAAAATTACTTATTTAGGGTTTATACTCTTGAACACAAAGTAATCAGAATACACTTTCAAAATGTGAAGACCAAATTCACACAGTGTAAAAAAATGTACAACATACTCTCAACACACTTTAAAAAAGATCTGTCCATAATCAAAACTTTATTGAAAAACTGACATCAAAATAGGAGATCACTGCTGTGCACCTTACAAAATCAAACATAATTACATTGTCTTAGTAGACTAACTATAATTACTGAACTTATGATAAGGCTTTCTGTGAAAAAAATTCAGGAAGTTGTACTGATCATTAGTGTTGCTTTCTTCTAAATGAACAACCTGCAAAGGAATCATGACAGTATAGTAAACAAAAGCTTATTCCATCTTTAGTGAAATTTTGTGGCAAAACGTACTTTATGTAAAAAAAACCTTAAGGCCTTTTATAACAATAAATAAAATCTGTTATATCTGAGTATATTCCACTATGACATATATACATAACTGTCCTTCTGGTTTCTCAAATAATATAAGGGGTTCTATTTAGAACCAAGAGCCTGAATTCAACAGTTAAAACTGCTTTGAAGATACACCCTCATTAGGAAGGCTACAGATGCACCTTTGAACCATCTATCAGCATATGCACACAAAATTCCAAGATCATGATGTGAAATAAACTTCCTCTTAGATATCATACGTAGACTTTGTACTCCAATCTCACCAGGCCACACCACGTAACTCCTAGATTTACTGCTAATCCACTTATAACTCTTCCAGTAAGAACATGGAATTCACAACTTCCCAAAATATCAAAGCAAATTTTAAGCACAGTAATGTTATTTTGTTATTTATTTTTGGTACCGGTGTGATTGAACTCAGGACCTTGCACTTGTGTGGCAGGCAGGGGCACCAGTGAGCTAAAGCCCCTGCCCTAAGTACAGTAATTTTAAATCTGTATTACTATGAAGAACTATATACATACATAAATTTTTTCTTACTGCACTAAAGTAAAAGATTTCAAATCAGATTTTTATATTAATGATTAAGTAGCTGTTAATATAAATAAAACCTGTGATATTTTAATTTACACATTATGTTTCTTAGCTAATTGTTTAAAATAATTTAAGTTATACGTACCAAATACATATGAAACAAAATACAAGAGGAAATTTTAAATCCTATGGTGTTAAAAATCTCTATGTCCTACTATTTATAGTTACTCTTTCCAGGCAGGCATGGTGTCTCTGAGCTACATCTTACAGCTACTCTTGCTTCCACTTTTATTTTTTTAAGTATATAAGCTGCCAAAGAGAGAACTACTTTGATTTATTTTTATTCCAACACTCTGAAAGAACCAGGCTTTCCAAACTTAAAAAAAAAAAAAGAGAGAGATCTTTCCATAAACTTATCCAGTCGAACTGGACACCCTTTACTTAAAGAGCCCAGAAGGAAAGATTTTAAAAATCTCATTTTGGGCTTAGAAAATCCCAGGTGATTGATGTACCTTCTGTGAGTCTGGCCTTTCCTCCTGTAGGCTGACACAAAACTGTTGAACACCCTACACAAAGAACCACCGTCTGAGCATGGCTGAAAACTGTTGTAATCTTGTAGCAACCTTAAAAAAAGAGAGAGAGAGAGAGAGACAGTATTAAAAGTGAAAAGCAAATGAAATCATAGCACCTGTTCAGTATACTTCTAGTAATAAGTAATGTTTTACATATTTCCTGTAAAGAAATAGAAACTTCAGCGCTGTGCCAACAGCAAGCCACATATGTAACAAACTGGTCTAGTACTCAGCTTTTTAAAAGGTAAAACAAATCAGATAAGACAAGTTAAAAATTATTGAACTTAATAGTTCCAAAAATTTAAGTTTTTTGGGCGTTTTTGTTTCAGTGCTACATCTCCAAAGTTCAGTGTGTGTGTGTGTGTGTGTGTGTGTGTGTGTGTGTGTATTTTTTTTTTTTTTAAACTGTGAAAGATTCTCTCCACTTTGGCCACATTTCAAATGCTTAGTAACCACATATGGCTAATGGCCACCATGTTACGCAGCAGAGCTTTAGAGGGTGAATAATCAACACATTTTTCACTGCATCATGAAAAAGAAAACTCGTCATCTAAACAACTTAGTCAGTCAAATACATCCCCTTTGGATGCCCAACTTTCCCCCAACCCCTATGTTCTACTATTGAGTATATACAATAAAACTACGGTTGAGTACATTATGAAAATGTCCCTTATGACATTTCTAATTCTATAATCTCACTTCTATTCAACAGAGGGTCCTTCGGTATCTAAATATGCATACTAAAACAGCCACTTCTACGGAAATTCCTCTTAGAAAAAGAATTAAGATTTGAAATTTTACCTGGACATTTTACATCCATAAAGTACGAATTTGGACTCTGAACTAGACGTTTCTTTTTATGTTTTTTCTTTTCCTCTTCCAAAGAAGGGTGAAGTAAATCTCTGGCCAACTGAATTTTTTTAAAAAAGCATATTATTAATGCTGGAGTTGAAAGCACAATACTGGCAGATTTAACCATACGAGAAATACACAGGCAAACCAAATAGCTCTAACAGTCATACTCGGCAGAGGCGACACGTCAGATGTTAAAATTGTTATTTTTTAAAATCTGATGTTAGCTTTCAATACTTCGTGGTCTCCAAGTCCCTACAAAAGGGCTTCAAGACGATCTAGACGCATATGGTAAAGTTAATCCGGTTCTTTACTAAACTGAATAACAGTTCTCAATAAAAACAGAATCGAAGGGTGAGAAAACCAAAGAGACCGTACTTCACGGCCTGGCCGGCGCCCACCTGCAAAGCGCCGCGCGCTTC